TGAACTGTTACACAGGCAGCTCATAGTGTGATGTGGGAGTGAGATGCTCACGTGAACAGCTCTGTGAAGGCTTTGCCTCTTGGAATTCTTAGCTAAACTGCATTTAATTCCGTTGGTTAAGGTCCCATTGACAGGAAAATACTACACACCAGAACTTGCTGTGTCTGAAATAGTCCTCAGTAACTCACTGGATAAGTTGTGTGTGCAGGTGATGCTAAATTAATCGGGGTTGTTATACTTGAAATTCGGATCTGTTTGTCCAGGGCAGGCTGCAATTCCCAGGATTCCCATCACATTCCCTGTTTGCCATCCAATATGTCAACCCACTCGGTGGCACTGGCATCATTTGTTCCTCACCAGCTTCTTTCCAGCTCGCACAGACCCTGCTGTGCTCTGACGTGTTTCTGAACACACTCTTTTCCTTCCTAGTGTGTGGACATCACCACGGCCATGAACGATAGAGCAGTAGCCCAGAAGAGGCTGAATGAGAACTCCTTTGACCTGGAGGCCATGTGCATGTTGAACCGCGCGCAGGAGCAGGTAGGGCACGGCGCTGAGGGAGAACCCAGGGCTGCTCTCAGTCCGGGGGGATCCTGGCATGTTTTGGCACAGCTGTTTGGAAACCACTGCGTGGGCTCGTGTGTCAAAGCTCTGCCTTGGTTTTGTACCTCCTAACACTGAGTTTGGAGGATCAGGAGCCCATGAACATGCACTTCTTGAGGATAAGGAACCCATGAACCATACACTTCCCAGCACTGCGTTTTGGGGATAAGGAAACTATGAATCATGTACTTACTAACACTGAGGATAAGGAAACTGTGAACCCCTAACATTTGATTATTGAGGATAAAGAACCCATGAACCATACACGTCCTAACACTGATTTTTGAGGATAAGGAACCCATGAACATGCACTTCCTTGAGGATAAGGAAGTCATGAGCCATGTACTTCCTAACACTGATTCTTGAGGATAAGACCATGAACTCCTAACACTGATTTTTAAGGATAAGGAACCCATGATCCATAGACTCCCAGCACTGATTTTTGAGGATAGAGATACTGTTACCCATTCACTCTTAACCCCAATTTAGGGGTGTAAGGAGCCCATGATCCATAGACTCCCAGCACTGATTTTTGAGGATAAAGATACCATTACCCATTCATTCCTAACCCTGATTTTTGAGGGTAAGAAAACCATGATCCATGCACATCCTCATTTTAAGGAGAAGGAGCCCATGAGTCCCAACACTGATTTCTGGGATAAGTAACCCCATGCATTTGGTGGACCTGGAGCTGAGGCCTCAGGGTGAACACCCAGATCTGCTTTAGCTTTCTGGCAGTGACACAGCACTGCAGAGAACACAGAGTCATTGGGAAAGTCACTGAGAGCACCAGAGAACTGCAAAGAAAAAGGGGCAAATGTTCATTTTGTTCTTGCCTGTGATTTTTTTCCTCTGCAGATCGATGCCTGGGCCCAGTCCAACTCCATCCCTGGCCAGTTCACGGGAAGCACTGGAGCACAGATCCTCTCATCGGACGAGCTGACCAATAGTGGTCCCCAGGCCTGGATCAGAAAGGTAGAGGTCTCACAGACACACTTGACCACCCACTACGTTGTGAAAAGCGACGGAGGTAGTGGAGAATGCACAGAATGTGCCTTGAAGCCTGTGGTAGTGCATGTGCCGATGGGTCAGAGCCCTGGAAGTGCTCAGCCAGCCCCCGAGTCCCTTTGGCTGTGTGCTGTGGGCTGTGCCCTGGAGCTCCTGGAGCTGCTGTGGTGGCAGTGGCACGTCCATCACTGCTCTCCTGGGGCTGGGCAGCTCAGCAAGGGTTGGTGCTGATGCTGTTGGAGTCAGGGATTTGTGGCATCAACTTTAGGGAACCAACTCCCAAACTCTGTCGTGTTTGCCTTGGTTCTCTCTGATGGCTCCTTTGCTTCTGTCTGGATCCCCAGGGATTGCTGGGAGCCAAGGATCTTGAGGTTGAGACCAGGAGCTGCAGTTGGTCAGTCAGTATCATCCTGATATTTATACCTGTGGTGCAATAGTTGCCTCTGGCAGGTTGTCATGGCTGGCTTTAGGCTGTGCTGTGTCATAGACTTGTGCATTTTCGATCCAGTTGTGCTCTGTCTTGGGCAAGGAATTCTGACCCAATGCTCTGCCAGGAAGCAGAACTGAGGAATTCAAGGAGTTCTTGGCAGAAGGACAGGGAGTTGTGGTGCTCAGTCTTGCAGTGGAGTCTGTGCTGTGTTGGCTTGTATCAGACCACCTCCAAACTGGGAGGTTAGGCTCGGGGCTTGGGTAGAGTTTTCCGTGGAAGCTGGTGTGAACTGGGCACAAAAATCTGGAATAATAACATCTGAAAAGAGAAATATTTTTGCCAGGATTCACTGAGTTTTTCCACTTTATATACAAGTAACTATATATGTATATGTACACAAGTCAAGTAATACTGATTGGAGTCACTTGCCAGATGGGTATCTTGAGGGATCTTAATGGAATGGACGTGATAAACTCTGATTTTAACGGCTGTTAACTTCTGAAACCACCTCAGAAGTTGGCTGTGATGGATTTTTGGTCGGCTGTGATGGCCTCACAGCCACTGCCCCGGCAGAGGACTCCAGAGCACTCAGCAGGGGCCTGTGGGTGTGAGGAATCAGCTTGGGAAAGGGATCAGCAGGTCTTGTGAAGGGAGAGCTCTCCCTCTGCAGCACCTGGAGTGGCTTCCCAAGCCCATGGAAAGGGAGCAGCTCTTTCCTAGACCTCTTCTCCCTGCTCTCCTTGCTGGAGGTTCTGTATGTGCCTCACAGAGACAGGAGGGTTTGCTCCCAGCAATGAAGTGGAAAGGGCAGAGGTGTTTCCCTTGACTTCACTCTGGGATATGCTTTAGAAACCAAAACATCTAAACAAACCAAACTCCACAAAACGCTTTGTAGGGAGAAAATGGGAGAAGTCTGGTCTTTGGCTCATGGACACAACTGCTGTGAGGAGCAGAAGTGTATGGGAGTGCTGTGTTGGACCTGGAGCTTGGAGTGAGCCATCAGCAGCTCTTTGTCCCCCCCATGGCTGTGTCCATGTTGTGGTTTGCTTTGTCAGGTGTGCTCCCCAGGGAGGAGCTGCTGCTGGGGACAAGACTGGTGGAGGAAGAACTCAGAGCTCTTCCTGCTTGGGCATTCCTCAGCTTGGCTTCTCTGCTCTCTCAGTTCCGCGTGCACGGGCCATGAGCCCCATGAGGAGCCCAGTTCCAGCCCAAGGAGTGCTCAGGGGCTGCCCTGGGTGTGCTCTGGGAGTGCTGAGAGCCTTCAGAGCTTCCTGTGGAGTCCCATCCTGTGGCTGGGGGGGGGGTTCCAGGAAGCAGCAGGGATCTCTCCCCCTGGGGCACCCATGAAATGGAGAGTCGAGGTTGGACATCAGTTGGGCACGTCACTGTGTGACAGTCCCTCATTGTTCACTGTGCCCCTGAGGGGCCAGAGCTGGACTCCCTTTTTGTCCTAAAACCAGGGATTCTAGCATTAAAAACCCGTAGTGTTTCTCACTAGGGCCTGGAGTTGGATTGTGATCCTTGTGGGTCACTTCCAGCTCGGGATACTCTGTGATTCTATGATTTGTCTCCTGCTAGGAGGGCTGTGGAGTTTGGGGAATGTTGTGTCTGTATATCCCTGCTCATTCCTGGTGGGAGATGTTGCCTGAAGGCTTTGGCTTGGGAGTTTGCCCTAAGCAAGAGCCACGAGAGGAGCTGTGGCAGCCACTGTGTTTGTGCCTCATTAACTGAGCAGTAATTAACCAATTAAACACGGCAGGCAGGGAGTGTGACAGGGTTCCCTGCAACACCAGGGGCGTGGGAGAGTGGGGTCAGGAGAGGAGGAAAAGGAAGGAGCTTGGGGAATTTGTTGGCTGAGCTCTGTCTTCACTTTGCCTCTTGTGGATTTCACCTCTTCTTGTCCTTCCAAAAGCCTCTGGAGAAGTAAGTGCTCAGAGCAAACTCTGCCTGGAATTCCAGGTGGATCTGTGTTTGAAGGAAGCAGGTGCTGTGGCAATGTGAAATTCCAAGTAGTAATAAGGTTTATCTCTAATTCCTGGTGCTGCTGTGTAGCTCCTGAACAGGCTCACAAAGGAGTAAAGCACTGTCAGGTTTCTTACACCACAAAATGTTTATGACCAGTGTAATCTTCCTCCTGTGCCAGGTGAGTTCTGGGTCAGTTCACCTTTGGTGTGACAGTTCACAGCCACAGCTGATTCCTTGGGAAATCTGCTCTCTTCCTGACACACTGAGCTGCTGAGGGAATGTCAAAGCAAAGCAAGTGCTCAAATAATCTTGGGATTGATTCCCTGTGCTGTGGCTGCTCCACCCCTGGGAGTGTTCCAGGCCAGCCTGGGCTGGTGGGAGGTGTCCCTGCTCAGGGCAGGGGTGGCACTGGATGAGCTTTAAGGTCTCTTCCAACACAGACCATTCCATAATCCTGTGCTGTGTGAGTTGTATTGGACTGGTTCCCTCCTTAGACCCCTAAATGCTTTTTTTCCCAGCTATTCCAGCTTCATTTCTCCTCCTGATATCTACAGTCAGTGAGCAGGACACCTGCAGGAGCTTGGGGACACAGGTCTGTGAGGCATCTTCTGGGATTCTTCAGCCAGGGATTCACGCTCTTGGCTGTGGGAAGGAATGTGGCTGCCGAAGGGCCCAGAACACCTCCCAGATCAGTTCCCAAGCCCCAGTTTCCCTTCCTTGGGATTCCTGCAAGGTGCCACAGTGAGCAGATCCTGATCCAGAGCTCTGGGAGGGTTTTGGCCAATGCTCTTAGGGTGATTGTTGGGGTGTCCTGGGCAGGAGTTGGACTCTGATCCCTATGGGTCCTCCCAGCTCAGGATATTCCATGATCTAATGGGAAATTTTGCTACTTGGCATAAGTTTTTCCAAGTTCCTTGGAGTTAAAGGAACCTTTAACCCTTCCCCTGAGCTGACACCTCTTGGCTTCAAGGCTTGGTTGTCCTTTGCTTCCCAAATTACTGCTCCAAGGAGTCATCCATCCTTCCTGCCTTTGCACAGGACTTGTGGCTCAGTGTGAGCAGAAAAGGGTCATTTTCGGAGAGCAGAAACTCGCTGAGAATACTCCAGATAATTTTGGCCCTAATATTCTGGAAGTTGCAGAATTCCAACTCACTTTGTTACAGCTCAGTCACTTTCATCCAGGATGCTCTGCTCTTTCCAGAGAGACATCCAGGGGCACTGTCTGCCAGAACATGCTTTGAATCAGCTCCTGGGTGTGATTTTTGGTGTTTGGTTGTTTAACCCCCAAATATCAACTCAGACTTTCACATCCCCAAACTTTGCTGCCCTAAAGGAGCTTTAAAGGAGGAACAATGTGAAGGAAACAACTCTGAACCCTCTGAGGGGGCTCAAGTTGGACCTTCTCCCTGTGAGAAGTCATGGAATTCAGAGCTCAGAACATGAGGAGAGTGGGACAAGTTGTCCCCTCAGAGTGAGGTCAGAGAGAAATGGTTTGTTGTTGTATCCCAGTCCCTTCCGTTGGGTGTTTTGGAAGGCTCAGCCTTGGTGGTTTTAAACCCACCAAGAAATGTGTATTTTATTCCCAGTTTTTGTGACCATTCCTCCTGTTTCTCTGGTTTGGAAGCAGCTCTAAGCCCAGACCTGATTTCCTTGCGCTCCTTAAATCCTGCGCCGAGGGAAGTTGTTGCATTGTTCCAAACCTTATGTTCAGGTGCCCTTGGAGAATTATGGTCACGTTTTAACGGCAAGGAAAGGAAAGGAAAAGGACATTTTCCCTCGGTGAATCCAAGTGGGGATTCCTGGCTCCTTTCCCATTGGTACCAGCATTCCTTCCTTTAGCCTCTGTGTGGGATGGGCCAGTGTTTGTGTATTCTGGGGTGGAACTATTACTAATAATCATTAACAAGTTATTAATACCTAGTTGTCTTGGTGCTGCTGGACAAGAGGAGTCAGCAGAGTGCCCAGAATTCCTCCTGAATTCCCCCACAAGAGAGATGTTTTTTACTAAACTGCTCTTTGGAGTTTAGAACTCTACTTATTGCCAGTGTTTGGGGTTTGCTCAGGCTCTGTAGCTCCTCTGGAGGAACTCAGGGCTCAGAGTTTTCCCTAGGAACAGGATATTTTGGTTCTGTCCTCTCCTTTTCCCCACTGGAATGAGAGTATATTCGAGGGAAAAGCTGTGAGCCTCACGTGGACTCAGCAGGAGCTTCAGTGAGTCACTTGTGAACTGAACTGCACCCAGAAGGGACTGAAACAGGAGATGGTATTCCAAATTCCAGCAGTGCCAAGTGGGAACAAACCCTCCCTGGTGCTTGGCAGCTCTTCTCCCAGGAGAAATTCCTGGGAAAGAGGAGGGAACTGGGAGGCTAAGACTGTGTAGGGGTGGATGAGGCAGGGGAGCCCTGAGCA